TTATAAGTAATCTAGAGATAATTTCAAGTATACAGGAGGTTATGTGTAAGTTATGTGTAAATACTATACCATTTTACATGAAGGGCTTGAGCATCCCCAGATTTGGGTATCCACAAGGAGCCTTGGAACCAATCCCTCCATTCCCCACCCCTCCAAAGTGCTGAGGGATAACTGTAGTGTATGGTAACATTTATATGTGGAGTCTAAAAAAGACAGGCTCAAAGAAACTACGAGTAGAGTAGTGGTTACTAGGAGTTTGATTAATGAAGAAATACTGATCAAAGGGTGCAACCTTTCAGTTATAAGTTAGCTAGTTTGGGGATATAGCGTATAGTACGGTGACCACATTGTACTGTGTCACAAGCGTGAATGTCCCTGAGAGAGGGGATCTTAAATGTTCTGGCCAGAAAAAAATAAATGTAAGTATGTGATGGGGTAAGAGGTGGTTACTAACATCATGTGGTCATCACTTTCTAAGTTACATATCTATTAAATCAATGTGTTGTACACCTTAAAGTGACAAAATATTATGTGTCAATTGTATCACAATAAGGCTGGGAATATTAATTAAAAATTTTAAATGGTGCCCTTTGAAATATAGTTTGGCTGTTTCTTCTAATGTTAAACATACACCTATAATATGACCCAGCCATCCCACTCCAAGACCAATGAATACTTATATACAAATATCCACAGTAGCTTTATTTATAATAGGACAAAAGTGAAAACAATCCACATGTTTTTCAACTGCAGAAGAAAATGTGGCTCATCATACTATGCAATATTACTTAGCAATAAAATACCAAAGTACTGAATAATGCAACATGAATGAATCATAAATGCATTGTTAGGTGAAAGATGCCAGATGGTAGGGATCACTGTTTGGCAGGAGTTGGGATGAAAATGTTGTGATTATCAAGGGTGGCTGTGGTAGTGGTGGTTACACCACTCTAGACACTTCAAAACTTAGAACTGTACACCAGATAGAGCAGTCTTTACTTTTTATAAATTTGGTAAACTTGCATGTTTAAGATGAGGCTGAGGGTATTAAGCACACATACTATTGGCATAAATATACTATGAAGTGATATACAAAAAGTAAGAGAGTGAAAGTTGCTCAGATGTGTCCAACTGTTTGTGACCCCATGGACTATGCAGTCCATGGAATTCTCCAGGCCAGAATACTGGAGTGGGTAGCCTTTCCCTTCTCCATCGGATCGTCCCAACCCAGGGATTGAACTCAGGTCTCCCACATTGCAGGCAGATTCTTTATCATCTGAGCCACAAGGGAAGCCCCATACAAAAAGTAAAGCATTTACCTAAACATGAAAAAAACTGGGAAAATGAAGTACATGTGGAGAAGCAATGCTTCTCACTGAGCACCTTATTTTCTACATGAGTGAATGTATTCTCTGTCAAAAATATTACATTTAAAAAGTTAAGCATCACTCTTCAAAGAGTCTCATCTACTAAACCTTCAGGGGCTCTCTACTGATCTAATGCACTTGGGGTTGAGATACATCTTGAAAATTATTTCCTTGGGAGATGAGGCATGACCTTTGAAGCCAAGCTAACCAAACTTACCTCCACTCCACCACTCATCAACTAATTGACCTTGAGCAAGTGAGTTAATCATTCCAATCTGAAAGACTGAGGTGAGGATGAAATCGGGGTTTGGACCAAAAGCATCAAGGTCTGTGGAGTCATCAAGTCTTATGTGTTGTATGAAAAGTGTTTAATACACCCACATCTTACATGAATGCATGTAAGATACTCCTGCTATAGAAATAAAATTTCTGCACCAAAGGTTATGTGATTAAGAGTAACTCAGTAAGTAACTGATAATGATATCTCAAGTCATCAAGGTACATAAAGAGACTATTTTTTGCAAAGTGAAGACAAATTAAATTGTTTTCTATCATAATGCCATTTATGAAAATAAAGAGTGCATTGAATACTTAACATTTAAAGATTTTAAAGATCTTCAAGATGATGATTGCACATTGTGGAGGGATGTTCACGACTCATCATTTAATGAAAAATCCAGATTAATGATATATTTATTATTTAAAGAAAAATCCAGATTAACAAGAAAAATATAAGATAAAATAGCATTTTTTGTTGAGGTAAAACACATAAAATAAAATTTATTCAATTATAGGGCTTCCCTGATAGCTCAGTTGGTAAAAAATCCACCTGCAATGCAGGAGACCCTGGTTCAATTCCTAGGTTGGGAAGAGCCACTGGAGAAGAGATACACGACCCACCCCAGTATTCTTGGGCTTCCTTTTGATAGTGCAGTTGGTAAAGAATCTGCCTTTACCAACTGGGAATTCCATGGACAGTATAGTCCATGTGGAATCCATTGTGGAGGGATGTTCATGATATATTGTTCAATGAAAAATCTAGATTAACAAGAAAAATGTAAGATAAAATAGCATTTTTTTTGTTGAGGTTAAAGTCACATAAAATTTATTCAATTATAGAATTCATAACATTAAAAAGTGTTCGATTTCATGCATCCAGTACACTCACAGTGTTGTGCAACCGCCACCTCTCCTCTATCTAGCTCCAAGTATTTCCATCACCTGAAAAGGAGACCTGTACCCATTAGCAGTCACCCTCTGTTTTGTCCTCCAGCTCCTAGATCTATCTCTATGGATTTGCCTATTTTGCACATTTCATATAAACGGAATCATACAATATGTGACCTTTTGTGTCCAGTTCCTTTCTTTTATCATAATGTTTTCAAAGTTCATTCATATTGAAGCATGTGTCACTGCTTCATTCTTTTAAAAAAAAAAAACTTGGCCATGCAACATGGTATGTGGTATCTTATAGTTCCCTAACCAGGGACTGAACCTGCACCTCTTGTATTGGAAGTGCAGAGTCTTAACCACTGGCCTGCAGGGAACTCCCTACTTCATTTCTTTTTATGACCCAATAAAACATTTTGTTCTGCTTCACTGACTATGCTAAAACCTTTGACTGTGTGGATCACAACAAACTGTGGAAAATTCTTAAAGAGGTGGGAGTACCAGGTCACCTCACCTGACTCCTGAGAATTCTGTTTGTGGGCTAAGAAGCAACAATTAGAACTGGACATGGAATAACGGACTGGTTCAAAATTGGGAAATTTAAAGTTAAAAAGTCAGAGCAGAGTGGCGCAGCGGAAGCGTGCTGGGCCCATAACCCAGAGGTCGATGGATCGAAACCATCCTCTGCTAAAGATTTTGTAAAGTCTTGAATACGTGTGGCCTCTGAGAAAGTGTATTTCATAGGCTTCTCTGGTGGCTCAGTCAGTAAAGAATCTGCCTGTGATGTGTGAGACTCAGTTTCGATCCCTGGGTCAGGAAGATCCCTTGGAGAAGGGAATCTTCTACCCACTCCAGTAGTCTTGCTAGGAGAATTCCACCGACAGAGGAGCCTTGTCAGCTACAGTTCATGGAGTCGCAAAGAGCTGGGTGCGACTGATACTTTCACTTTAAAATTTGGCAGTATATGTTAGAGAATATGAAGTGATTACTTTGGCATGTTTGGATTATGGGTATGATGCTTATTTCTTACTTTTTCTTCACTGTGGTTTTTTCTATGACAAGGTATAGTTTGGGGGAAAGGAAAAACATTAATAAATATTTACTTATTTATCTGCCTGTTCTGGGTCTTGGTCACAGCATGCAGAATCTGTATTTACAGGATGCAAACTCTTAGTTGTGGCATGTGGCGTATAGTTCATGGACTAGATATTGAACCTGGGCTACCTGCATTGAGAGCACTGAATCTAAGCTATCAGACCACCAGGGCAGTTCCCCACCCCCCAACTTCTGTTTTGTTTTTAAAGAAAAACATTTTAATAAGAACTCTGAAGGCAAAGAAGAACATATGCAATTTTCAGCATAGAATACATGAAATATTTATTAATTTTATGATATAGGATTTATTTCTTATTATTCAACCATTAAGTCTTCTGACCCCAGCTTGTAGAACCCCAAAAGGGTCTGATACTAAGACCATCCCAGGACCCCCTGCCACCTCAGTGGGGCTAGTCCTGGAGCAGCTGCTGTCTCAGGTGCTGAAGGAAGTGGCCCCACTCCTGCCCCCTTCACCTTCTCTCACTATTGAGGACTCTCTTCACCTCCGCTTCCTAGAACATCCTGATGAAAATGAAGTCCTGGGTCATGCCTCTCTGAGGGAAAATTTTTCTTTTTCCTAGCTTCAGGTCTGTTTCACAGCAGAGCAGCCTGTAACTGTGTAACAGATCTAACTATGGAGAATTTGAATTTGCTGAATCTTCTAATGGCAGGTTTCTTCAACAGCAGGTTTCCGCGTGTCTCCAAACTTCAGTGTAACTTTTATGACTTTAAAGCATTTTAAATGTGAGAAAGTGATGCAAAAACAAGTGTGGAAATGAACGCACATTCAGTAGGGATGCTTACCAGATACTGAGTCAGTCATTTTGCACAAGCTTTTCATAAATCTCCACAACATCGCAATACGGTGGCTACTATTATGTAATAAAGGCACTGAGGCTTAGAGAGAGATTTTCCCCAACCCAGCCAAATAGCTAAAAATGGCAAACGTTTGTAAGGAGGGAGTGGTGGATCCAGGGTCATCTGACCCTGACTGCATCTAGCTCTCTGCTTCACTTTCCTTAAAAAGTCATATTGTCCTCATGATCCAAGATGGAGCTCCAGTATCATAACAAAATTTGCCCCCATTCCCCCACCCTCCCCCCGCCTCCCCCGCCTCCCCCCGCCTCCCCCACCAGGTTCACAGCCGCACCCATCCGCCTGGATCTGTCTAGGCCCCAAGGACCCCCTGCTGGCTCTCAGTGAAGTTTGGGACAGACGTGAGCCCCCAGATCAGGATCCCGTGCCCCTTACAGTGGAAGCACAAACTCTTAACCACTGCGCCGCCAGCGAAGTCCCAGATTTATTCCTGGGAATCTGCAGTGAGGTGTCTATGGTTACGGGCGGATCTCAGGCCAGAAGGTGGGTGCGTCATTGGTGTCCGGCGCTCAGCGGCTCCATCCGCAGCCAAAGCCCGCCCTCCGCACGCAGGATCAGCTCTGGCTTCCGGCGAGGCTCCTCCTCATCTGGCAGGACACGGAAGCGCAGTAGCGTGAGCGCCAGGACCACTTTCATCTCGGTCATGGCGAATGTCTGCCCGATGCAGTTCCTGTGGGCGGGAGCCGGGGCTCTGACTGCACCTGGAACCCTCATCTGGGCTCCGCAGCACCCGGCCCACAACTTACACGCACAGTGGTAGAGAAGGAAGCTAACCATGTCAGGAACCCCCGCGTGGGCTTGCATATCCCCAGACCCTTGCCCACACTCCAGTCCTGCACTCAGACCAGAACACAGGGGAACTGGCCTCTCAGCACACTGTGGACCCCTCCTTGTGCCCCTCACCATTCCCTAGGCCCTTGCCATTATGTCTGGGGGAGGGGAGGGAAACACAGCCTTAAATTTCCCGTCTTCCTGATCCCTACAGTTAAACCTGGAATCTCAGTCCCAGACCCCCACCCCCACTACTCCATCCTCACCTCAAATGTCCTCACCTGGGACCCGCTGAGAAGGGGATAAAAGCCAGAGGTGACCTCCCCTTGATGTTTTCTGGCTCGAAGCGGAAGGGGTCATAGACCTGGGGTCAAGACAAGACAGGGTTACCAGGTGGTATCTCCCAGAAAGTCCATTCTTAGAGAGGCAGATGTGTGTATAATGGGAGGGAGGTGATGTCTGATTGGGCAATCAGAATTCTGTAGTCGCCCTTGGGTGCGCCAAAGGGAATGGACAGGGATGATGGCGGTATGGCGTCGCGGAGGCATCACCTCAGGGTCTGGCCACACAGATGGGTTGTGGTGGGTCCCAAAAATACTGATGAGGCAGATAACACCTGTGGGAGAGGAGGGACCAGTTAGAATTAGGTTCAACCTGCCTGATGGGCCCCCTTTCTGACAAGGAACCTCATCCCACAGTCATTGTGAGCACCTTTGGGGATGACCCGGCCGTCTGGAAGCATGATGTCCTGGGTACAGCAGCGAGAGATGACGGTGACTGGGGGGTGCAACCGCAGACTCTCCTTGATGCACATGGTCAGGAAGGGCAACTGAGCCAGGTCGTCCCTAAGGACCCCCCACGACAATTATCCAGGGAGCAAAAATAGACATACCAGCCTCCAGCACTCCTACTGCCCTGTAAGATCCCTTTTGTCTATAACATAATCAGAGATGGATCAAATAGTGTCAAACTCATTACGTTGTATACATTAAATATGTACAACTTTTTCTTTGTCCATCACAGCTCAATAAGGTGGTTTCTAAAAAGAAAGAAAAATCACAGAAGTACCAGACAAAATTTAGCCACATATTTTCAGAAGCTTTTCTAAGCAAAATATCAAAGAACCAACCAAAAAGAAAGTTTACTAATTTGTTTAAAAATGAAATATTTTTTATGGTAATATGGAAAAATCAAAAGGCAAATGAGAAAGAAATAAAAAGTCAGATTCAAGGTTTACTCTTATTTATAACAGCACTAGGGATACTAGCTAATGAACTTAGAAGGGGGAAAAAGAGAGAAACGCCATTTGAAACATGGGGGTAAATGTGTCATTTTCAGCAGATAGTGGTTTTATACTTAGAAAATGAGAGAGTTCACTGGAAAAAGTGAAAGTGAAAGTCACGTCCGACTCTTTGTGACCCCATGGACTATACTGTCCGTGGAATTCTCCAGGCCAGAATACTGGAGTGGGTAGCCTTTCCCTTCTCCAGCGTATCTTCCCAACCCAGGGATCAAACCCAGGTCTCCCGCATTGTAGACGGATTCTTTACCAGCTGAGCCACAAGGGAAGCCCCAAAATACTAGAGTGGGTAGCCTATCCCTTCTCTGGAGAATTGTCCCAACCCAGGAATCAAACTGGGGTCGCCTGCATTGCAGGCAGATTCTTTACCAACTGAACTATCAGGGAAGCAACTCACTGGAAAACTGGTACAAATATTGAATATAAGACCCAGTAATGGGACTGAATTCTTTTTATCCTCTTAATTTTGTGTGGTGATTTAAATTCTTAATAGCTGATATAGTTAGCTAGTTCCAAATCAGAAAACCACAAAACACCACCCCATGTCTCAGTATCACTCCTTTCCCTTCCTCACAGTTTGACTAGTGGTTATTCTTTATGTGTCCTTCCAGGAATACCTTTTTGCATTAATAATCATGCAGTATCATGCTGTATACAATACACATTGCTCTGTATCTTTTTCATGTAACAGTGTGTCAAGCTCTTCTTATACATCTCTTGGGACTTGTGTCCAAAATAAGGCCTTTCCTACTCTGGAGCTATAAAATAATTTCCCCTGGTTTCCTCTAGAGCCTTTAAGACTCCTTTATTTTATTATTTTCTGAAAAAATTATTTATTTGTTTGGTTGCAGCAGGGCTTAGTTGCATCAGATCTTTGTTGTGTCAGGCGAGATCTTTCACTGGGCCCACGGACTCTGTTTAGCTGCATGTGGGCTTAGCTGCTATTGCACACATGGGATCTTAGTTCCCCAACCAGGTATCAAACCTAAGTCTCCTGCATTGCAAGGTGAATTCTTAACCACTGGACCACTAGGGATGTCCCAAGGCTCTTTTATTTTTTATTTTAAATCTTTGATTAGTGTATATGTTATTTTCTTATAAGACATAAGACCATGTTGAATTAACCTTTTTCCATGTAGCTCTCCAGTTGTTACAAGAGTTTTTAGTATAAATGATCTTTCTTTGTCCTGTTGGTATGAGACCATATCTAGAACTTACTATGTTCACTGGGCAAGAAATTTATACCAATAAATTATTAGTTTTTCTTTAGAAATAATATAATAGATGAAAGAAAAGATGGTGATGATATAAAATATCTGGAAGACATGTGAATGTCTATATTCCAAATGAACTTATAAATGTTTCTCAATCCAGATAGACTATATGATTCACCATAGGAACAAGAGATACCTAAGGGTTTGTTTAGCAAAAGCTGCCTAAGATTTCTATGCTAAAATTTTAGACTCTATTAAAAGCCTAAAGATTATGTGAATATCTAAAAATGGATATCCATTCCATACTCTGGAATAGCATGTTAATATTATTAAGTAATCTGTTTTCCACAAGCCTATCATATCAAACCCCAGCCTGGTCCATGCACACTGGGAGTATCCTGACCTGGGACTATTCTTCCACCAGGCTGGGAGATCCTGGAAGGCAAAGACTGGGGTTGGTCCTTCCTGAGTCCAGGACACACAATGAGGTGGGGAGAATTGGAGATGGCATAGAACTGGGGAGAGGGAGGCAGTTTTGCAGTGTTTCCTAAATGGGGAATAGATGGAAGAAGATGCAGATATTCCTGGAAAGGAGGTGAATGACTTTAGTCCTCAGGTGTTCCTTTTAAATCCTGGACTAAATAATATGAGGAATTAGAATATGAGGAAATAGAATGAAGATTTTTGAAAACATATGACTTCAGAGAGAAAGGTAAAGAGGTGGAGGGAAAGTTCATTTACTGAATAGGCGCTCACTGGTATCACCTGCCCTCACAAATTGTTGATAGTTAATGCAGGACTTCCTATCCTCCAAACCTGCAAACTTTTCCCAGACCCTGTCTCTGGGATCTTCTCACATTCCCACTAAGAAATAAGGACAGAATCCACAAGAATATTTTCACTCTTCCCAAACCAGGAAGCAGGGGCTCAGAAAAAGGCCATGAGGACTTGCACTCACCATTCAATCTCTTTAGGCTCGCGGTCCCTCAGGAGCTCTTGCACCTCCTGCCGGCAGCGCTCCTGATATTCTGGGTGCTTTGCAAGGTTGTACAGGACCCAGGAGAGGCCACTGGCTGTGGTGTCATGGCCTGAGGAGCATCCAGAGAGGCTTGGGTCTCTGGCCTCCTTCAGCACTACAATGTGGACAGCACCCTCACCTTAGCCCATGGGGGGATGGGGAGGGATGACATGATCCAGAGTCCACTTGCCAAGTTCCTGTGTTGGGGGAGAGGCCCGTCCCCCTGTGTAATTCCATACTGGGACCCTCACCTTCAAACATGAAGGTGTCAGCTTCAGCTCGGATGTCTTCGTCTGATAATCCCTTCCCATCTTCATCCTGGAGAGAAAGCAAGATTCCCAGATTCACACAAGTTCTGAGGGCCACTGAGCATAAACTGAGACAATCTCTGAAGCTCCATCATCCATCTAGAAACCCAAGCTCAACCTGAAGTCCTAGACCTCCTTTGCTCAGTACCACCAGATGCCCCACCCACACACCTCCTCCTTGAACTCTTTGCCTCCTATGGCATCCATGGTAAAAGGAATCAATGATTCATAAATATTTTCATGTTTCTACATGATGTAACCTGGGTTACAGGATGACTGATGACAAGTTTACCTTAGAAGTAGAGATTAAAACCCATTCTTAATGCCTCCTGGAGATAGGGAATGGGTTGTACACCTGTAGAACATGCAAACTTTGCCTTCTCAGTGAAGAGTTCTGTTTAAGCTCCAAAACAACTTCTCATCTCTGCTGTATTCTTGTCTATTCTTCTCTTCTCTCCACTATTTTCCCTTCCCCTCCACTCCCCTCCCTTCCCTTCCCTCCTCTCTCTTTCTCCTTCTCCCTTCCCTCCTCAAACACAGGGAAAAAGGAGAAGAAGTCCTGTGTATGCCCCAAATTTCAAAAACTGGAGGTAAAACCACTACAATATTGTAAAGTAATTAGCCTCCAATTAAAATAAATAAATTGGGGGGGGGGCGGTCCTAAGATGGCAGATGAATAGGACAGGGAGATCACTTTCTCCCCCACAAATTCATGAAAAGATCATTTGAATGCTGAGAAAATCCTCCAAACAGCTTCTGAATGCTGGTGGAGGACATCAGGCACCCAGAAAGGTGCCCATTCGCTTTGAAAGGAGGTAGGACAAAATATAAAAGACAAAAAGAGAGACAAAAGAGTTAAGGACGGAGACCCATACCAGGGTGGGAGTCATGAAGGAGGAGAAGTTTCTAAACACCAGGAAACCCTCTCACCAGCAGGCCTGTGGGGAGTTTTGGAATCTCAGAGGGCAACATAACCAGGAGGAAAAAAAAAAAGCAACCCACAGAATACACGCCTAACCACAACTCCCAGCAGAGAAGTAGCCCAGATGCTTGTGTCCACCAGTAGTGAACAGGGAGGCGCGGGTTGCATGCTTAGGGTAAGGACTGGGCCTGAATGCCCTGAGGGCAATCTGAGGGAGCTAACATGAGAAAGCAAACCAAACTGTGGGTTAACCAGAGACAGAGAGAGAGAGAGAAGAGAGAAGAGAGGAGAGAGAGAGAGAGAGAGAGAGAGAGAGAGAGAGAGAGAGAGAGAGAGAGAGAGAGAGAGAGAGAAATTTCCCGCAAAAAGCTCTAAGGCACAGTCTGGTCCGCTCACAGAACAAAGGATTGAGCAAATACCAGAGGAGAGCTAGCTGGTTGCACACCTGCGCCTTCCCCCGCCAGAGGCAGAGAGGCAGGCAGGCGACAGCCAGAGCCAGAAGGCAAGGGGCAGTCTTGGCTCGAGAGATTCATCCTCCACCAAATTGTGAGCAGGCTCCCAGTTGCCAACCAAGTCTTCCTGGGATCCTGGATGGTGGACATTTTCCAGGAGGGTCACAGCCTGAGATCAGCTCCGCAGAAGAGACACACAGCACACCTGAGACAGGGCTCTCTTTGCACACACAGGAAACTGAGCAGCTAAGACTGGGGAGGTGATGAGACGCTCCGCACACCTGGGACAGGGCGCTCACCAAGCACCTGGTTGTCTGAGCTGTTCGGACATGGGAATGGCACAAAACGCTGGCCCAACCAAGTCTGTACCTTGGTGGAGTACCCGAGAACCTGAACCTGAGCGGCATGCAACCCAGGGCCTGCTTTGGACAATTCTGCTGCAGAGCAACCTGGAGCCCGAGCAGTGTAGACAGGAAAGCACACACACCGTGAGTGGGGCAAACCCAGTGTGGCCCAGACACTTCAAGTGCTCCCCACACACGACAGTGATATTTGTTTCCAGTGTTCCTCCCTCCCCACAGAGCGACTGAACAAGTGAGCCTACATAAGTGACCACCTTCACCCTCCATGTGTCAGGGCGGAAATTAGACACTGAAGAGACTTGCAAACAGAGGAAGCCAAAATAAACAAAGAGGGAGACATGCTGGAAGTGACAGGTGCAACAGATTAAAACCCCGTAGTTAGCATTGACCAAGCATTGGAAGGGGCCTATGGACCTTGAGAAGTATAAGCTGGAACAAGGAACTATCTGGAACTGAAATGACCGCACAATGCCCTCAACAGCTCCAGAGAAATTCCTAGATAATTTTCACTATTATCATTTTTAAATTTTTAAGTTCTTTATTACTCCTTTAATTTTCATTTTTATAACCTACTGTTACCTTGCAAAAAAAGACCCTGTTTTTAAAGCAAATTTCATATATATATTTTATAATTTTTGTGATTTTTTAATATTGTATTTTTTAGAGTCTAACTTCTACACTAGATTTTTAATCTTTGCTTTTTGGTATTTCTTAACAATTTTGTACCTTTAAGAATCTAATCTTCAGTACCCATTTTAACTTAGGAGTGTGATTACTGGCTTGATTGCTCTCTTCCCTTTTGACTCTCCTTCCTCTCCCCCAGGTCACCTCTATCTCCTCTGTCCCCCTTCTCTTTACCTGAATCTGTGAATCTCTGTGGGTGTTCTGGGCCATGGAGGCTGATTAGGGAACTGATTACTGGCTAGATCTGTCTCTTTCCTTTCGACTCCCCCTCTTCTCCTCCTGGTCACCTCTATATCCTTCTTCCCTCTTCTCTATGTAACTGTGAACTTTTCTGAGAGTTCCAGACTGTGGAGAACACATAGGGAATTGATCACTGGCTAGATTGCTCTCTCCGCTTTTGATTCTCCCTCCTGGTGACCTCTATCTCCCTCCTCCGTCTTCTCTTCTCCATGTAACTCTGTGAGCCTCTCTGGTGTCCCTCACTGTGGAGAATCTTTTCACCATTAACCTAGATGTTTTATCATTGGTGCTGTATGGATGAAGAAATCTTGAGGTTACTGTAAGAATAAGACTGAAAGCCAGAGGCAGGAGGCATAAATCCCAAACCTGAGAACACTTGTAAACTCCTGATTCCAGGGAACATTAACTGACAAGAGCTCATCCCAAAGCCTCCATACCTACACTGAAACCAAGCTCCACCCAAGAGCCAACAAGTTTCAGGGCAAGACATACCAAGCTAATTCTCCAACAACGCAGGAACATAACCCTGAGCAATAAAGTACAGGCAGCCAAAAGTCACACCAAACCCATAGACATCTCAAAACTCACTACTGGACACTTCATTGCACTCCCGAGAGAGGAGATCCAGCCCCACCCACCAGAACACCGACACAAGCCTCCCTAATCAGGAAACCTTGACAAGGCACTCATCCAACCCCACCCACAGGGAGGAACCTCCACAATAAAGAGGAATCACAAACTTCCAGCACACAGAAAGGCCACCCCAAACACAGCAATATAAACAAGATGAAAAGGCAGAGGAATATTCAGCAGGTTAAGGAACATGATAAATGCCCACCAAACCAAACAAAAGAGGAGGAGATAGGGAGTCTACCTGAAAAAACAATTCAGAATAATGACAGTGAAAATTATCCAAAATCTTGAAAACAAAATGGAGTTACAGATAACTAGTTTGGAGACAAGGATTGAGAAGATGCAAGAAAAGTTTAAAAAGGACCTAGAAGAAATAAAAGAGTCAATCATATACGGTTATCATTACCATCTTTCTAAATTCCTTATATATGCGTTAGTACACTGTATTGGTCTTTATCTCTCTGGCTTACTTCACTCTGTATAATGGGCTCCAGTTTCATCCATCTCATTATAACTGATTCAAATGAATTCTTTTGAATGTCTGAGTAATATTCCACTAAAATATTGTAAAGTAATTAGCCTCCAACTAATAAAAATAAATGGGGAAAAAAAGAGTCAATCAATCATGAATAATGCAATAACTGAGATCAAAAGCACTCTGGAGGGAACCAACAGTAGAATAACTGAGGAAGAAGATAGGATAAGTGAAGTGGAAGATAGAATGGTGGAAATAAATGAAGCAGAGAGGAAAACAGAAAAAAGAATTTAAAGAAATGAGGACAAACTCAGAGACATCTGGGACAATGTTAAACGTCCCAACATTCGAATCACAGGAGTCCCAGCAAACAAGACAAAAAGAAAGGCCATGAGAAAATACCTAAGGAGATAATAGTTGAAAATTTCCCTAAAATGGGGAAGGAAACAGTCACCCAAATCCAAGAAACACAGAGGGTCCCAAACAGGATAAACCCAAGGCAAAACACCCTAAGACACATATTAATCAAATTAACAAAGATCAAACACAAAGAACAAATATTAAAAGCAGCAAGGGAAAAGCAGCAAATAACACACAAGGGAATTCCCATAAAGATAACAGCTGATCTTTTAATAGAAACTCTTCAGGCCAGAAGGGAATGGCAGGACATACTTAAAGTGATGAGAGAGAAAAACCTACAACCCAGATTACTGTACCCAGCAAGGATCTCATTCAAATATGAAGGAGAAACCAAAAGTTTTACAGACATGCAAAAGCTGAGAGAATTCAGCACCACCAAACCAGCTCTTCAACAAATGCTAAAGGATCTTCTCTAGACAGGAAACACAGAAAAGGTATACAAGCTGGAACCCAAAACAACAAAGTTAATGGCAATGGGACCATACTTATCAATAATTACCTTAAATGTAAATGGGTTGAATGTCCCAACCAAAAGACAAAGACTGACTGAATGGATACAAAAACAAGACCCCTATATATGCTGTCTACAGGACACCCACCTCAAAACAAGGGACACATACAGACTGGAAATGAAGGGCTGGAAAAAGATATTTCACACAAATGGAGACCAAAAGAAAGCAGGAGTAGCAATACTCATATCAAATAAAATAGACTTTGAAATCAAGGCCATGAAAAGAGACAAAGAAGGCACTACAAAGTGATCAAAGGATCAATCCAAGAAGAAGATATAACAATTATGAATATGTATGCACCCAACATAGGAGCACCACAATATGTAAGGCAAATGCTAACAAGTATAAAAGGGGAAATTAACAATAACACAATAATAGTGGGAGATTTTAATACCCCATTCACACCTATGGATAGATTAACTAAACAGAAAATTAACAAGGAAACACAAACTTTAATGATACAGTGGGCCAGTTAGTCCTAATTGATATCTATAGGACATTTCACCCCAAAACAATGAATTTCACCTTTTTTTCAAGTGCACACGAAACCTTCTCCAGGACAGATCACATATTGGGCCAAATCTAGCCTTGGAAAATTCAAAAAAACTGAAATCATTTCAAGCATCTTTTCTGATCACAGTGTGTTAAGATACTAATCACAGAAGAAATAAAAAAAGAAAATATGCATAGAAATGAATGAAAATGAAAACATGACAACCCAAAACCTAAGGGATTCAGTAAAAGCAGTGCTAAGGGGAAAGTTCACAGTAATACAAGCTTACCTCAAGAAACAAGAGAAAAGTAAAATAAACAACCTAACTCTACACCTAAAGCAACTAGAAAAAGAAGAAATGAAGAACCCCAAGGTTAGTAGAAGGAAAGAAATCATAAAAATTAGGGCAGAAATAAATGAAAAAGTAACAAAGGAGACTATAGCAAAAAACAACAAAACTAAAAGGTGGTTCTGGGAAAACTGGTCAACCCCTTGTAAAAGAATGAAACTAGAACACTTTCTAACACCATACACAAAAACAAACTCAAAATGGATTAAAGTTCTAAATGTAAGACCAGAAACTATAAAACTCCTAGAGAAAACATAGGCAAAACACTCTCTGACATAAATCACAGCAGGATCCTCTATGACCCACCTCCCAGAGTAATGAAAATAAAAGCAAAAAAACAAAAAAACAAAAAACAAATGGGACCTAATTAAACTTAAAAGCTTTTGCACACCAAAGGAAACTATAAGCAAGGTGAAAAGACAGCCTTCAGAATGGGAGAAAATAATAGCAAATGAAGCAACTGACAAAGAATTAATTTCAAAAATATACAAGCAGATCCTGCAGCTCAATTCCAGAAAAATAAACGGCCTAATCAAAAAAAACAGGCCAAAGAACTAAACAGACAGTTCTCCAAAGAAGACATATAGATGGCTAACAAACACATGAAAAGATGCTCAACATCACTCATTATCAGAGAAATGCAAATCAAAACCACAATGAGGTACCATCTCACGCTGGCCAGAATGGCTGCTATCAAAATGTCTACAAACAATTAATGCTGGAGAGGGTGCGGAGAAAAGGGGACCCTCTTACTCTGTTGGTGGGAATGCAAACTAGTACAGCCTCTATAGAGAACAGTGTGGAGATTCCTTAAAAAACTGGAAATAGAACTGCCATATGACCCAGCAACCCCACTTCTGGGCATACACACTGAGGAAACCAGAACTGAAAGAGACACATATACCGCAATGTTCATCGCAGCACTGTTTATAATAGCCAGGACATGGAAGCAACCTAGATGCCCATCAGCAGATGAATGGATAAGAAAGCTGTGGTACATATACACAATGGACTATTTACTCAGCCATTAAAAAGAATACATTTGAATCAGTTCTAATGAGGTGGATGAAACTGGAGCCTATTATACAGAGTGAAGTAAGCCAGAAAGAAAAACACCAATACAGTATACTAATGCATATATATGGAATTTAGAAAGACGGTAATGATGACCCTATATGCGAGAGAGCAAAAGAGACACAGATATATAGAACAGTCTTTTGGACTCTGTGGGAGAAGGCGAGGGTGGCATGATTTGAGAGAATAGCATTGAAACATGTAAATTGTCATATGTGAAACAGATCATCAGTCCAGGTTCGATGCATGAGACAGGGTGCTCAGGGCTGGTGCACTGGGATGACCCTGAGGGATGGGATGGGGAGGGAGGTGAGAGGGGGGTTCAGGATGGGGAACACATGTACACCCATAGTGGATTCATGTCAATGTGTGGCAAAACCCACTACAATATTGTAAAGTAATCAGCCTCCAATCAAAATGAATAAATTAATTAAAAAATAAAAATAAATAAATAAAGGAAGGTATTTGTTCTGTAATGTTAAGCATGGCTACATTGGAAGATAAAGGGATCGTGGAGCTCTCAGAAGAACTTGGGGTTGGGGAACAGAGACACCATCTACTCTGGCTACTGTTACTGCCATAAGTAATAAATGGATTCTTATGATCCAGTGTTCTGTATGTATACATGGATATACACAGTCTATTTCTGTAGTAGACTAACTTACTAATTTGGAAGTAGAGTAAAATCTCAGGCCTTCACAGTTTCAGTCCCCTGCAGGCTGCACCCCACGTGTGTGTGTGTTAGTCACTCAGTCCTGTCTGACTCTTTGCAACCCCATGGACTGAACCCCATCAGGCTCTTCTGTCCATGGAATTCTCTAGGCAAGAATACTGGAGTGGGTTGCCACTTCCTACTCCAGGGGATCTTCCTGACCTGGGGATTGAACTTGGGCCTCCTGTACTGGAGGTGGATTCTTTACTGTGTGAGCCACAAGGGAAGCCCTGTGCATTCCACATGGTCATCTCTAAAACTTACCCCTAACCCAGCCCTTCCTTCAACAAGAATCTCACATGGCTGCCCAGCACCCTCTGCATCCAGTTCAAGTTCTTTGATTAAATCAAGTTCCCAAGGTCTATACCGCTTCTTGAATAAGAAACCAGAGGAGCCCACCTTGGTCAACAGGAGTACGTCAATGAAGTCCAAAGTCTTGGTCTTTGCTTTGGCTTTGAGGAAGTCATCAATACCCTCACTGGGGAGGGTGCGGCGCCGCTCCTGGATGACGGCATCTGTGAAGTCGTGCACCAGGCGGCAGGCCCTGCGGAAGCGCCGCCCATCTGGGGTGAGGTAGTACAGGAAGTCCATGTGCAGGAAGAGCTGCTGATATCGTTTTGCCGCAAGCGCGCTGAGCTCCAAGATGGCCGCGATATAGTCACTGGGCTTCCTACAGGATGAGAGCATGAAAATGCAACAACGTCTGAAATAAACTTTGAACAGAACCCTCTTCTTCTCAAACACCTTCCATGGCTCTCTGGAAAGCTCAGGAGAAACTTCATATCCTCTTTGGTTTCAGAATGTCCTTAAGATATAAAGATGCCCATACCTCCATTTTTATTTCCAAGATGTCTCCTCACTGTTGCACATACCTTGCTCTTCCTAGCCTCCGGGCCTTTATCAAACAGTTCTACCAACCTCAGAGGATGGCTTCTTCTCCTTCCCCTTCTTGTTCCTCAATGTCCAGATCTGACACACTTCCTCCAAGAAGACCTTTCTGATTGTCCTGGTCAACCCTTCCTTACCCATCTACTCCCATGGGTCTGTGGCTAGTGTTCCCCAGGCCCTTGAGACTCACTCTTGGCAACTGCTGTCGTAACTGAAGACACATTTCTGCAGACTGTCCAGGGTCATGAGGCTGATGTGTTCAAACATGTCCAGATGGGTGTGGCCCTCTTTGATCAGACGCTGCCACTTGGCCTGGACAGAGAAGGGGACACAGCTGAGGCTGAGAACTGCCTCCTTGGTGCCCTTTCCTAACCCCAGATACCAGGATGCACTCCCTGGACTCTGTCTCCTGGTCCCAGGCACCCACCCCCAGGGAGGACCAGGCTCACGGAGGAGTGAAAACTGTTACTATTAGGACATGAAGTCTCCATGACCGGGAGTCCGAAGATCTGGGTTCTGTAATCCTGACTCTGCCTCCCAACTCTGTGTGCATGAGTGTGAGCTCGGTTACTCAGTCGTGTCCGACTCTGTGTCTGAACTTTGGACTGTGCCCCCCGCCTCCCAACAGGCTCCTTTGTCCTTGGGATTTTTCAGGCAGGAATAATATAGTGGGTTGCCATTTTCTCCTCTAGGGGATGTTCCCAACCCAGGAATCAAACCCACATCTCCTGAGTCTCCAGCATTGCAGGCAGATTCTTTACTTGTTGAGCCCATGCTTTGTGCACCATTGCTCAACTTCTCATAAAGTAAGTGCTAACAAATGTTAGGTTTCATCATTTTCATTGTTATAAGTTGATTAAGAAAATGATCCCTATGTTGATAGAGATAGTCCTCCATGGGCCCTGAGTACTCCTGCACTTTTTTTTTTTTTTTGGTTTTGCCAAAAAATTGTAAGACCCCTATGTTCTTTACCTGGGCCATTTCTCAGAGCTGTGTTTGTAGCAAACAACCTTGAGAAGTGAGGTAATGTGTCCCCCTGGAAAATATCAAGCTTGCTTCTAACTGCTATAAATGTCACAGAGTTCCTAAACCTAATATTCCCTCCCCTGTGATATATGAGTAGACATCCATAGAAGCCCACCTGTGTTATTTGCATGAAATTTGGTGACTTGGATGAAGGATGCAAACCCACAAGAAGCATGTGTTGTTTGCTGGGCTACCCTTTGTCTATGACCCAGGAGTCTCACGTATTCTGGCAGAATCCAGGAAACAGTCACAAGCTCCCTTGTCAGCTTGCAAGTATGAAGAAAAATCACAGGCACTTTACAAAAACCTGTGCTCCAGTTCTTTGCTTTCCTATGTGTATATCAAAGCCCTTTGCAATGTAACTTTTCAGTAACTCTACTTGGAGGTGGAGCCTCTTTCACCATACTTTGATTCTGAGCTGCCCCTGGACTTTCTTTGGTCAACAGACTGTGGTGAAAATGATGAGGTGATGACTCCAAACCTAGATCCCAAGGGGGCACTGCAGCTTTCTCCATCTTTTCATACCCTGCCTCTACCATGTGAACCAGCCTGAGAAGCCTTTTGAAGGGAGAGAATCACATGAAAGCAAGTCTATTTACCCTACCTGAGGTCATGCTAGATCAGCTTACAGCCAACCAAGCTTCAAACCTGTGAGAGGACTGACCCCAGTCATAGCAATGCTTCCTATCTGTATGGTCAGGCCACCCAAGATAGCTGTCCTCTTGTTCTCTGTACATCCCATGCTTGACCAGTCCCTGCTTCACCTACACTGTATTCACATTTCCTCTTACTCATGGAGCCTTATCAGTAAATGCTGACATACTTGCTCTCAGCCACAGATACACATGATGGGATATCACTCCAGGACCTTGCTTCAGACACATAAGATCCCCTTATCCATTCAACCACTGATGTACATCTGTGTTATTGACTCCAGCTCTTTCTTCAGTCTTGAGTCTTGCAGTACTTGCAGGGTGCAGTCCAACACGACCAGACCCACAGCTGATCACTGGCACATGAGTGGCCCCATCCACATCCAGAGAAACCAACCAACTGACTCACAGTCTCACTGTGCATATTAAACCCTTATAGTTTTCAAGTGATTCATTACTCAGAAATAACTACTGCCTGATATTCATTATTATCATCAAATATGTCTCAAGATTCTAAGGCTTCTGTGAAGGTAAAACAGAAGCTAACACCTTTTGAACAACTATTATGTGCCAGGGACATGGCTCCATTATGATGTCTTGAAAGTGAAAGTGTTAGTCATTCAGTCACATACGACTCTTTGTGACTCCATGTACTGTAGCCTGACAGGCTCCCCTGTCCATGGAATTCTCCAGGCAAGAACACTGGAGAATGGCAACACTAGGTTTCCATTTTCTTCTCCAAGGGATCTTCCTGACCCAGGGATTGAACCCGGGTCTCCTGAATTGCAGGCAGATTCTTTGCCATCTGAGCCACCAGGGAAGCTCAGCTTGCAGGATATCTTGACCACCCTACAAAGCAGGGATCATATTACACTCTTTAGATAGCCAAGGACATTGAGGCTGAGAAAGGAAGAATGATGGACTTGAGCCAATCAGAAGAGGGAGGAATCCAGACAAGACGTCTCTGAGTCCCTGTTGTCCCCCAGACTCCAGATGGGACCATGGGTTCAAGAGACTCACATGCATGATGTCTGTGCTCTTGGTGAAAATCTTCATATAGGGCTTCAGGATGTTGAAGTGGAAGGCAGGTGTCAGCATGCGACGGTGCCTGTTCCACTTGTCACCAGCACTCAGGAGGAGCCCATCCCCTAGCAGAGAGAGCCATGGGGATTGAGCAAAGAAAGACCTTCCCCTGGGTCCCCAGGGTCATCCCCAACCCCCTTCACAAACAGTTACTCACCCAGCCAGGGCTTCAGAAAGTCGTAGAAGACCACATCCTTGGGTGCAGTGGCAGCTGACATGAATGAGGACCATCAGGGACCAAGGAGAGGGGGAAGGGAGGGTCTTTTGGTGGGGAGTGGAGGTTCCCAGCCAGGAGTCTGCATTCCCTCTCCAAGCCCAACATAGCAGAACGGGACCAAGAGCACAGGAAGCTGGGAGGGGAGAGGAGACCAGACCAGGCCACAGCACAGCACAGAGCAAAGGCAGAGCCCATAGACACAACTCACAGTGCTTAGACACACCCCAACCTGAGACATGACTGGACATTGCATCTTCTGACCTTACAAAGCACCTTTACGGGGATCTAGGATACCACACCTGCCCCAGCACTGGCCCCTCCTGAGACATCTGACCTGGCCCCATGTCTTAACAAGTCCTAACAGGCCACACCATGAATGGCACAACATGACATGATGCAGAATGCTTTGCCATGGGCCTGAAGACCATCTGACATGACCTCGGTGTGCCCCAGGCGGACCCCAGACAGGACCTGAATACACTGATGACACGGGCCTCAACTAGGCAGAACTCAGACATAGCCTAAGACCTGCATCAGGCAAGATTCACATAAGGTCTCAGGCATTTTGCAGAGTGGCCCTGGAGTCCCAGGCCTCAGACAAACACCCTCAAGTGACCAGCAGGAGAACCAGGCAATCTCTAACAGCATCTCAGACAAGAACCAGAGAGGCTCCAAGATGCCTCACATGTCCTTGGCCACAGATGAGCTCTAGACATGACTGAGAATATCTCTGAGCTCAGATTTAAACATATACCAGGTATCACTAGGTATAACATACACCAACTGTAGCCAGAATCTACATAGAAACATAAATCTGATCAGACGTGGCCATTCAGCAGACATTGCAGAGACATGACTGGAGATCATGCAGCTGGGATTCTGCAGTGGGAGACAGTGGCATCTTTGCTATGCCCCCCCTCTGCCTGCATCCTGCTCACTTGTACAACTAGAGGCAACACAGAGACCATGGCAATGGGCAAGCTATGGCCAGGGAGGTGTCTACCTGGAGCGAAGAGCACAGGCTTGATGCAGGTGGGGTGGAAGATGCGGATGATTGGGTGCCAGGGCCCCACCCACCAGCAGCATGCATCCCCATAGGTGCTGGCCAGGCCCTGTGTGTACAGGAGACCTTCCTCTGAGCTCTGAATCTGGAGAGGAACAAGTAGAACCCAATTCACACTCTTCTAGGCTGCCAGAGGGAAGGACCTGCAGGGCAGGGATCCAGAGCTGGGACAATGAATCACTTCCAGCAGCTGCTCCTCTGTCCTCAGCCTCCTGCCACCCTCTCTACCCTTATCCTCCATACATGATAATTGGGGTCCCCTGAGTATAAGGATAGGAAGGGTCTTTCCCTGTTTGGATCCCAAACACTGTGTTCCCCTGACTTCTCTTCCATCCCCATATTCCTGATAAGGAGACTGAGGCTCTGAATGATAGAGTCTGTGGCCCACGTTCTCTCAGACAATATGCCTGAGACACGTGCCCACATCTGTCTGAACCCAGGGTCTGTGTTCTTAACCATCAAATTACTCTGAGCCTCAAGACAACAGCTTAGAGGACCCTTAAACAACCTCCAAGACTGGATACTCAGAGTTTCAGGGACACAGGAATGGGTCCTATGACACAGGCTAGGGAAATCAAAGGAAATCCTGTGTCTTTTCCTGAAAATGTTGTCAATGAGCTCACTTTTCCATGGAGGTTGAGCTTGTTGGATTCAGTGTTACCAAGATGATAGGGAAGCCACCACAGAAGAACAGAGAACTAAACAATGAAAACAGATTTCTTATGATATTATATAGACATGGATAGATCTGGGTCTGAAGATACCCCTCCTTGGACTTCACAGTCACTTGATTCCTTTTCTTTCCATAGATCATACAGGGTGGCATTTCCATCACTAACAGCTGAAGGATACTTCAGCAGCCAGAGAGAGCTGCGGCCCTTCTCATGTTCACTCTGCATTCTTGGGTCTGAACCCAGGTCTCTGTTACACGCTGCCTGTTCCCCTGCTTACCTGGTCATCTGTCTGTGGATGGGAGGGGCAGGGGACAAGGGAAGAGAGCCAGGGTGGGGTGGAGTCTCCTCAGGAAGATTCCTTGCATCTGGAGGAGGGCACTGATCTAGAAGTGGACCAGCTCCAAGACAGGGGGAAAGAAAGTGACCCACCAGAGAGGTGGATGTCATGTGAATAGCAACTCAGATGTACACCAGCCATAAGCCGTCATTGCTCAGCACCTAGGGATATGTGGGGACTGAGGACAGGTCTGACAGGGGACCCGAGATGTTATGGATGCCCATGCATCACTCCATACTCTGTTTTAAAAAATTTCTGCTCATCGTTCTGGACCCAGTTCCAACTCCTCTTCCAGGAAGCCTTCCAGCATCCCTCAGAAGAGAACCTTGATTCTTTTCTGGGTTTGCAGAGCTCATTTCCCTCTGGCAAATTCCTGACCACACCAGGTCACAGATCTGTTTCTCTGCCTCAATCTGAATCTTCAAGTCCTGTCTTTTACCCAGGACACCAGGGTGGGGTGTAAATGACAGTGAGAGCAAGGAGGAGGCTGTGAGATTGGGATGATCAATGCATGAAGGAAAGAGGAAGATGGCAAGAGAGGAGGGGAGGGGGTTGGTGTCCTGTACGGGCCACATGGAAGCTTGGCAGGGAGGGGCTGGAAGCCCTGAGGTGTGTCATGGCACCCACCACCACAAGCTCTGCCTGGATACCTGAGGCACTGGCGAAAGTCCGGATGCAGTCAAGGTGGCAGAAAACGACCAGGGGGATGATGGGGCCCATCCACATCAAGTAACCCTGGGGGTAGTTGGTCACCAGCTGAGTTACTTTGCTCAAGCCCTGCTCCATCGGGGCGGGGGGAACCTGTGAGCAAGGTAAGGGCCTTCTGCAGAAGGAGAGTCCACTGCAGTGGACAGAGTGTGGGATCCTGCACAGATGGAGGGAATCTCTGCTTCCTCCTTCCCTCTGGGGGAGGAAGGGACCTGGAGGCTCTCTAAGTCCTAAGGGTGTATTCCAGAGCACAGGGAGAAGATAGGCTCTCTGCCCGCAGGGAGGCAGATCTTGGCTTGAGAAGACACATTTTTATTGTCCTGGGAGTGGTCCCAGTGCAAGGGCAATCTAAGAAGGAGGTCCTCAGTGGGCAGCTTTGTGGGTAGCAGGTGACTGGGCTTGGGTCTCTGGGCAGGGTCCAACCCTGTCCCATATTTTTCCTGCTCCACCTGGCTTCTGATTTCTTGCATGGCAAGGGTTCTGCAGACCTCTGACCTTATAGCCCTGGCCATCCCCCAGGGACAGACATGAACTCTGCCTGCTAACCCAAGGGGGAACATGATCTATAACCTTTGCTGCTCAGGCTCCGTGCAGAGTGCATCCTGTCTGTTTCTCTGCGAGTTATGGGCATGCCCTTCAATTGTGCCATTTTCAAAAGAAGAAACGGATGCCATATCCCCTCAAAGGGGAAGAAGTGTGGGTTGCCTCCTAGTGAAGCACCCTCTCCCTAACGATGCTCCATTCAAACCTGACAAATACCCCGAGGTACTCTAGGCAGGTGACATAGATCATTTTCACCTTTGTGACTTGCTCCCCTCTCCCAAGGCCCTAAGGTGAGGATTCAAAGCCCAGAGATGGGGCGTGGCTCAGCTGAAGTCACACAGAAGAGTGACTGAACCGGTCCCCATGGCCAAGCCCTTGGAGGCAGGGAAGGCCGAACTGGAGAACTTTGTAACATTCCTGCTGCCTCCAGGGCTCGCTGAGACCATCTGAAGATCTGGAACCTCAGCAATCTTCACGGTGAGCTTTGGACACCCTCCGCTGTGAACGTTGCCTTAATGAATAGTAACTGCAATAAGTCCTCCCCCAAGTTGTAGTTCTCATCCCAGGCATGAAAGGAAAAGTTGTCTGCGAGATAGGGGGAGCTGAATATAATCCCTCTGACCTTGACTGAGGGAGATGATGGCAAGTTGATCACCTTGGTCAGCAAGCATTTGTTTTGAGCGCTTACATCGCTCCAGTCCTGGACTGGGCACAGTAGTGTCTGCTCCCCCAAACCAACATCAAATTGGGAGGTGGTTACTAAGTGATTGGATGATTACCCGTTTCATTAATCCTGAGTGGGGTGAAGTCATAAGTCACAGTCTGGGGCACAAGCTAGGGAGGTGTGGAGGTGGGGTAGGTCTAAGAAGGCTTCTGAAAGAGGAAGTGAGTAGCTGACTTTATCTAGATTGGGCAACAGGCCTATTGGGACATCTTTGGGGGAGGGATGAGAGTTAAATTAGAGGAAGGGGTCCTGGACAGGGGAGGGGGTTGGCAGCTGTGCTCCTGTAGGTGGGAATGGGGAGGTGGTAGTTATTTCCATTAGGAAAGCTGTGGCTCAGAGCAAGACACACGGATATGGGCCATGTGCAGAGCAGACGCTGGATGGTGAATCTTATCAGGTGCATAATGTGTGGGAGTCAGGCAGGGAATGGACCCCAAAGCAGGCTAGGACTGGAAGAACAGGATGTGGGGAAGGTCTCGATGGCAGAGTAGAGGGATTAATGAGTGAGGGAAGAGGGGGTTCCTTGGCCTCCCTGTCTTCTCTGCTGTCCTAGACCCCAGCCAAAACCTGAGCCCCATTCCTGACCCCTCAGCAAGTCCGTCTACCCTGATTTCCCAGACCCAACCTGCTGCCCACACTCACCAGACCCAGGTGACCAAAGAACCAGTTACGTTTTGGGGGCTGTGGGAAACATCGGAGGCGGCGAGAGTTGTTGTAGAAGGTGTAGGTCCAGGCCAGGATGCAGGCCAGGATCCAGGAGGCCCCGACCAGCAGCAGCAGCAGCCACGGGGAGGCTGCCACCAGCCCGAGTCCCAGCCAGGACAGGCTCAGCTCCAGCATTCTGTGATCAGATGGGATGGAGGGTGAATCCTGAGGATGAAGGAAGAGGCAGTGATGGTGAGCTGTGAGGCAGAGATGGATAGAGGGAGAGGAGCAAGGGAGTGAGGGGCAGGGATGGGGAGTGCTGCAGACGGGCAAGAAGGGCTCAGAGACAGGCAGACAGGTGCTGGGAGAGGGGAGGGAGAAACAGAAATTCAGAGGAAGAGGGAGAGACAGAGACAGACAGACACACATACGTATCCACTCATCTCCTGGGTCATCTCATTCCCTGGAGCCACCCTGCCTTGGGCATCTGCCTTCGCCACCTTGGGCCAGGACCCCCAGCCTCTTACCTTCTGTGTGGGCTGGCTTGTCCCACACAACCTCTTCTGCCCTCCTCCTGGGATGGCTGGGTCTGACCCCAGATCTAGAGGAAGCTGCCAGGGGCCGGGCTAAGCCAGCCAATCCCCACAGCTTTCTTACTTCCTCCCCACCTGGCAGCTGTCTGGATACGGGGTGGGGGGAGGGGGAGCACGGTGTTACCCAGAGCTGCCTGTGAATCAGCTCAGGATTCACTCCCCTACCCGCTGTGGACACTGGCTCCTCTGGACCCAGTGTCTCCCACAGGAGCAAGTTGTGGTGCAGACAAAGGTGATTCTGGGCCTCCAGGTTCGCAGCAAGCCCTGCACTTCCAAGGCCAGCGTGTGGCAGGCAAAAGCACATACAGGAGGGCAGGGCAAAGATCTCTGCAGCTTCTCTCCACTCATGGGCCAGGAAGCCTTCACACCCCATTTCCAGGCCTGGAATCAGGAAGCTCAGAACCCTTAAAATTCTGGCTTTTGGGGCGCACACAGCCTGGCAGGAGTTCAGGTTGTGTCTCCAAGCAGCCCAGGGTCTGGGGTGAGACGTGACTACTGCAGAACAGAAATAGAGAAACCTGCCTGACTGGGGATTACCTGTATCAGACTCAGAAGATAAAGGGCCCATTTGGAAGAGGGCTCCTGGAGGCTGTGAGGGGCCTAGAGAGAGCAGGGTCCACCCAGGGGAGGGCAGAGCTGGGAGTGCTCTGCCCTGCCCTTGCTCTGACTGTGGGCTATGCATACCCTCTGTGGGCTCAGTCTCCCAATCTGGGAAATGGGATGCTGGATAAGAACCTGAGAGGGGGAGTGAGAAGGGTTCTACAGGAAGATGGTGAGGATCAAGAGCCCCTAAAAAGATGGAATGAAGGAAAAAGGCGAGCTACTACCACTTGTGCTAGTGTATGTTGTGGAACCCTCTGCCAAGGCCACAAGACAAAAAGCTCTGCAAATGACCAAGTCTCATAGCAACCGTTGCTGTGAACCCCAATACCTAAACTGGCCGGTTTCCCGACACCACGTTAGGTAAAATACACACTATAACCACCCACTCCAGCATTCTCGCCTGGGAAATCCATGGACAAGAGAAACCTGGCGGGCTACAGTCCATGGGGTTACAAAGAGTCAGACACAACTGAATACACACGTAGCATCCTAACGAATCACCTACCCAATGCTACCCAATGCAGTAGGAATTTTCTGTTTTGAGGCTGTAACAATTGGTTACTAGCCTGTGAAAGGGTTCAGCTCTCCCTTGAGCCTGCCCGCTGTTCTAAAAGCATCTCCTACTCTAATAAAATACTCTCCTCTCATTCTGCCTCATGTCTGGAAATTCTTTTCCAACCCATACACAGACCACGACATGTGCCAGTAGCCCACATACAGTAAGCCTACTCTGTGCAGACAACTGTATGTAAAGATTGCCTACTCTGTGCTGGGTACCTCAAAAAGCATGCCTACAGAGGGTCAGAAATTCTACATAAAGCATGCCTGCTATGTGTCAGAAGCTCTACAAAGCATGCCTGCTGTGAGCTTGGTCATCTATGTAAAGCACCCCTACTGTGTGCAGGTTGCTCTGCATAAATAGGCCTACTGTGTGCCACATGCCTTAAATAAAGCATACCTGCTGTGTGTCAACTGCTCTACATAAAATAAACCTACTCTGTGCAAAGTACTTACATAAAGCACATTGACTATGTGGCCTTCCCAGGTGGGTCTAGTGGTAAAGAACTCCCCTGCCAATGCAGGAGACTTATGATACATGAATTCAATCCCTGGATCAGGAAGGTCCCCTGGAGGAGGGCATGGCAACCCATTCCAGTATTCTTGCCTGGAGAATCCCATGGACAGGGGAGCCTGGCGGGCTATGGTCCAAAGGGTCGCAAAGAGTCAGACACAACTGAAGCGACTTAGCACAGACACATGCATATTGACTATATGCTAGATATTCTACATAAAGTGTACTCACTATATGCTGGGTTATTGTTTAGTCACCAAGTCATGTCCAACTCTTTTGTGACCCCATGGACTGTAGCCCACCAGGGATTTCAGTCCATGGGATTTCCCAGGCAAGAATACTGGAATGGGTTACCATTTCCTTCTCCAGGGAATCTTCCTGACCCAAGAATCGACCAGCATCTCCTGCATTAGTAGGTGGATTCTTTACCACCGAGTCACCTGGGAAGCTCACTACACACTGGGTACTCTAAACAAATCCCATCTATCATATCCAGTGTGTTCTACATAAAGCATGCCTGTTGAATGCCCAACACAATACACAGAGAACGTCTACTATGTGCTGGGTGCTCTAAAAGAGTCATGCCTACTATGTGCCAGGTACTGTATATAAAATATTCGCTCTGTGAGTCAGGTGCTCCACGCAAAGTACACCTGCTGTGTGCCAGAAGTTTTGTCAGCAAGATAATACATCACCCTTCCCTCAGTGCTCTGGGCCAGCACCCCGGGGTCAGGCAGAGACCCAAGTGATGACAAGACCCAAGTGATGACCCAAGTGATGACAAGACCCAAGTACCTATGAACAGAAGAGCAAACTGAGGCTCAAAGAGGGCAAGCCTCTAGCCTGAGTTGCAGAACTGGAAGGAACCCATGTCTGTCATATCACCAGGCCTAAGCCTTTCCCCTCTGATGCTCCACCCTCATTCACAAGGGACAATGCCCTGTTAATCCAGGGATACTTATAAAGATGTAATCTCGGGCAAAATGGTGACCCCAATGGGGAGATAAACCTTGAGATCATACAGCCATATTCAGGATGCACCACCCAAAGGATCTTCACTGAATGTACCATCTCTTCCTGGCCCTGTGGGGTGGTCTCTGGTGAGAGAGACCTTGATGGATGGGGCACCTGGCAGAGCTACTGATCAGGAAAGTAGTGTGGGGAGGAAGGAGTCCTCCTGACACTGACTGGTAGGATGCTGGGGAGACCCTAAACCTCCTCCCCCAACACTGGCCAGGGGAATCAAATGGAAGATCTTAAAACTGTCAGTGGGGTGGGGTGCACCCTGCCCCCAGAATTTCCTTCCCTTCCATAGATTTCACCTCCTGACAGTTCTATTCACATCAGGGTTAGGCAGGCAAAGCCAGAATATGATAAACCAAGCAGCATCCTGGGACACACAAGAGAAAGAGTCCCCGATGCTCAGAGGAGTCAGCTTACTGCGGACCTACTGTGTGCTGGGAATAGGCAGGCAGCCTAGAGTAGTAATTGTAGCCACCACACCAGCATTTTCCAACGTAAGCCACTGAAGCTGTTTTAAGCCCCTTCCCTGGGTAGGGAAGATCCCCTGGAGAAGGGACTGGCTGCCCACTCCAGTATTCTTGCCTGGAGAATTCCATGGACAGAAGATCTTGGTGGTCTACAGTCCATAGTGTTGTAAAGAGTCGGACACAACTGAGCGACTAACACACACACAAGCATATTAACTTTTTTCATTTTATATAGTTGAGGAAACTGAGATGAGAAAATCATGTGAGTGACTCACACAAAGTCATACAGCTGGTGGGACCACGCTCTGCCCCAGGCGTCACACTGGGTACCCTGAAGCACTAAGCTCTGCCTCTTCCGTATCTGTAGGTGGGCATTTCATTAGCACCACTTTCCAAGACGGTGGAAACCACTGAAAGAGGCAACACATGTAAAACACATAGGGTGGAGGAGGGGCTCAATAAAGGAAGTCATTACTGCTGTTGTCATGGTTTCTGCCATAAACATCCGACAGCCCTGCAAGATCAAATTCACTGGCTGTTTTTACAGAAGAGGAGATTTCAGAGGGGTGAAGCAACTTGCTCCAGCCCACCAGCAATTTAGGTAAATGAGGCAGGACGGGTGACAGCAAAGCCTGGCACACAGCACGTCCTCATTAAATATCTGGGGAAGAAATGTTTTTGAACTATGGTAGGTTGAATCAGTGAATGCAGAATCCACAGATATAGAAGGCTCCCGGTACTTGTCTTTCTCTAACATTTAGTTTAGCATAATGCCCTCACGTTCCACCCACATTGTCACAAAGGAGCAAGCTTTCATCTTTCTCATGACTGAATAGTATTCTGATGTATACCATATTTTCTTCATCCATTGATGGACAGTTAGGCTGTTTCCATATCTTGTCTGTTGTGAATAATGCTGCAGTGAGGATGGGCATGCAGATATATCTAATAGATACTGATTTCAGTTTTACTGGCTCATATGGTAATTTTATTTTTAAGTTTTTAAAGAATCTCCATACTGTTTTTCATAGGCATACATGTAATTTACAATATCTGTCGCTTAAGTATAAGATTTCCAGTTTCCCCCCACACTCACTGGCACCTGGTACTGTCACTCAGCTTTTCCCCAGCCATTATCACGGGCGTGCAATGATACATTCCTGTGATCTTAGTTTGCATTTCCTAATGACTAATGATGTTGAACAGCTTTTCATGTGCCTATTGGTCATCCATATATCTTCTGTGGTAAAGCGCCTATTCAAATATTTTGCCTGTTTTTAGTTTTAAAGTTTTTTAATTAAATTTTTTATTGGAGTATAGTTGATTTACAATGTTGTGTTTAGTTACAAATGCACACCAAAATGAATCGGTTGTACATATATCCACTCATTTGTAGATTCTTTGCCCAGATAGGCCATTACAGGGTATTGAGTAGAA